CAGATAATTCTTTGGATTTATTACTTTGGATTTATCACTCAATGGTAAAACTATTGATGGCACTTTTGAAAAAAAAAAAAGCAAATTTATATTACTTTATATATGAAATTTAACGACAAGTACATTTATTATTAAATTAACATTATGTTAAAAAACATATCACACTATAAAAGCCATAAAAGAGGGCCTGGATTTCATATTGAATACAAGTTTTTATTAATTACAGATTAACAGATTATTAATGGCTAATGGGAAATGTTAGTATGAAATAACTAAGTATGACATAGAAATAAAGACAATACTATATTTCACTTCTTAATTCTGATCGATTAAATGACCAGACCTTAAAAGTAGAATATTCCAGACCTTTGAGTCTTTTATAAGCCTTGAATTACTGAGCTAACAGAAACAAACCAGACGCTAACAGGCTAATAGCAAACTGACTGACATCAACCTTATTCAAAGCACACAAAGAAGTTGTATAAAACTAAAAAGACAGCTATGGATAAAAATTAACACTTTATACCGATGCGTAGCGGTCGACGAGTCGCGGATGACAGGTGCTAACGTTAATGCTCGGCTTCTGACAGGCCTCAGCTAGCTCACCTTTACCAGCTTAACGTTACTGGTTTAGCATTCAGCTCGCTCGATTAGCCTTGTCATTTATTGGGGTAAAGTTGGTTTATTATTCGCACATTCAGACTCACACCTTCTTAATATAATTTCAGAGCAGTGTTCTTTGCAAATTCAAGCCGAATGACTTTAAAAGTGCAGTTAATTAAATGGTGCTAATGTTGTTTTGAAGTGAAGCGATTTTAGACCGAATATTCAAAGTAGCACGGTTAACAAAATACGGGCAGTGTCACAAGTTTTCACTCTTCAAAAATAAACAAATGTCCAAATATAACACCAACTTTACCTCAATATAGCATTTTAGCTTATCATTTAGCCACTTATTGCATCTTACGAATGTGAAAGCGGTGTTAGCTTTAGCGCGTTAGCTTTAATCCCGTACCGTTCTGACAGGGCACCGTTGCCGCTCCGCCTCCGTTCTGCGCGGAGCTCATGCTGTAGTTATTGACGGCCGACTGCGGGTTGCCGTAACCCTGGGTTGACATCTCTGTCTATCTTTCTCGAAAAAAAAAATAAAAAATAAAGGACGCTGTCACCAGTTGTGAGTCTCCATCGACCTGCCAGCCGATCCGACCGACTAACGGCGAAGCGGAGGATGATGATGAAGTCGATCACGGCCCGGTGAATCTGGAGATCGACTGCCGCTTCAAAATAAAAGTCCGCAGATAAATTTGAATTCTTTTACATTTTTCCCTCAAGTTCTCTTTAACGGAGAGCAGGTTTTTCCAACACATTTCTAAACAGAATAGTTTTAATAACTCATTTCTAATAACTGATTTCTTTTATCTTTGCCATGATGACTAGAGTAGATTGCTAGTAAAAAAAAAAAAAAGCAGTACAAGTTAATCCAATGAAAAAAAAAAACAATCCAATTAAATGTTTGGGTAATCTTTAATCAAAATCTAATCATCTGCTTCTGCTCTGGAATGACAGTCCACTTGGTGATTGTGTCTGATTAGGTGAAATGTGCTTAGTTACGCCTCTCCAACCGTTATTTTGCTAAGAGTGAAAGATGAATAGCATTCAAGCTTAAGCTGTGGTTACACTAGAGTTTGAGCTTGCGAAATTCTGTTGTACGGCGCTGCGAAAAGGGGTGGGATTAAACAAGATGATTAGACATTTAAAAAAGCGTGCGATTGATTCATATTTTACATTTCTTTCCAGAGAGGTCATGTTTTGATCCTCGATTGGTCTCACGCAGTCAAGTGTTGCGATTTTGCAGGTCAGAGATCACCAAGCTTGAACTTTGCAATGCAGCGAACTGCAAAACTTGATGCACGACCTTGCGTTTTTCGGTCTGACGCATTCGCATGCGTATGAATTAAAGTCAATGGGGAGTGCGACTGCAGCTTTAAAAATGGCACTCATTAGGCTACATCATTAATATTTACATACATTTTTATAAGACATTTTTTCTTTCAATTTTTTTATTCTGTGAATTTGTAAAATTTTTACTTAATTTGGGTAGAAACTATTTTAATTTTATTCTACTATGTAAAGATACGAAATATTAAGCTCTGTTAAAATGTTTTTATTCTAAATTCATCAAAAATAAATTATTATTATTATCATTGTTATTATTATATATTATTATAAAAATGTAGCATTATAATTATTTAATATTAAAGAATACCTAATTTAAAAATCTGGTGGAAATCCAAATGTAGTTTACATAATCAACATGAACTTTAAAATGTTTCTAAATAAATTTATCTTAGCTAAATTTTATAATTTACAAAAAGATTATTGTAAATAAAGCTATTAACTATTAATGCGACTGAACATGAAAATATATATATAAATGGCTTAGCTTATAAATGCATTATGTAATGTTGAATGAGGCTGGGTTTTTTTGTAACTTTTTTTGTGAATGACAAACTTAACTGTACAAACGTACCCTAAGTGACGTATTTCAGATTTGCAAAAATTTAGACAGCGCCTTCTAGTGGATTTTACAACTGAAACGTACCCTAAGTCACATATTTCAGATTCATAATAATGTAGTCAGTGCCCTCTAGTGGATTTGTCAACCAACAAATACATAACTTACCCTAAGTCATGTATTTCAGATTTGCAATAAAGTAGATAGCGCCCTCTAGTGGATTTGCCTACTGAAACATACAAAACGTAGCCTAAGTAATATATTTAAGGTTCGCATTTATGTTGATAGCGCCTTCTAGTGGATTTGTCAACCAACAAATACATAACGTACCCTAAGTGATGTATTTCAGATTCGCAATATTATAGACAGCGCCCTCTAGTGGATTTGTCATTTGAAATGTCCAAAAAAACTTACCTTAAGTGACGTATTTCATATTCACAAAAATATAGACAGCTCCCTCTAGTGGAGTTTTTAGCTAAAACGTACAAAGCGTACCCTAAGTGGTGTATTTAAGAATTTATTTTATTTTTTGTTATTTTTTTATTTGCAGTTTATTTGTCATAATCCTCAATGCTATGATTTCTGTGTAATAAATACCACTCCCTCGTGCCAGCAATTCAGCATTGTGTGTTTGTGCTGGAGGCAAATATCTGCTTGGCACTGCCTTTACATAACAGCAATAAAACAAGATTATAGTTATAACAGGAGCAGCTCGATTGACAAAGATGGATGGAAAATAACCGCCTGGGAATCTGTTCTTACACACACTTGATTCATCATTGCTCAATGAAGCCACTGCATCACATTACAACCAGTTCCTTCCATGTTACCAGCAGCTTTACTCACAACTTCTGCAATTTGTGGAACGAGCAGCTTCCTTCACAAAAGGCATGACTGCATTCATCTACACTATAAACAATATTCATAAACTAACAGGTTCTGTATTTCGTGATTCACATGCTTTTTTCTGTTTATTTACAGTTGAATTGGAATCTTGATCTCTTCTGTTGACTTTTATTGTTAATTCAGTTGTTTCAGATAATTCAGAATGACTTTTGTTAACATTTTTTGTACACTACCTGACAAAAGTCTTGTCGCCTATCCAAGTTTTATGAACAGCAAGTAATAACTTGACTTCTTGTTGGTCATTTGGTGTCAGAAGTGTCTTATATGAAAGGTGAAGGCCTCTAGATTACACTTATTTGAGCTCAATAAAATCTGATCATGTCTTGATGTTGACTGATTTGATGAGGACAGTGCGGTCTGACTCTGCTCAGACTAAAGTCTCATCACTGAACAGAAATAATGTCCAGTATAGAATATAAAGTCCTGCTGCAGTGGAGACAGAATGAATATTGTGTCTGACTCCATCATGAGCTTGGAGGACTGCATCCATACATCTCTGACATGACTCACATCACTGATTAATAAAGTCATCTGGAATGAAGAAGAAAGCCTTCAGCAGGACTCCCAGAGCTCATCAAGAGTCTTTGTGTTCATCTTCAGCGCCTCCTCCTTCATCATGCTCAATAATGTTCATGTCTGGTGACTGGGCTGGCCAATCCTGGAGCAGCTTGACCTATAGGAGCTTTGATGTGGAGGCTGAAGTATGAGAAGGAGCGCTATCCTGCTGGAGAATTGTCCCTCTCCTGTGGTTTGTAACAAAAAACTCAACCAAACAAATGTAACTAAATATTTTTTTAATTGAAAACCTCAGTAAAAACATAATTGTCAATAATTGATCAATAACTGTCAACATTACACATAATCTGTAAGTAGAAGTAGCCGTACAACAGATACTTGTTAAAACCCTGTTTAGCTCAATGAAGCTCCAGGCTTCCTATAGTGCCACAAAACCATTAGAAGTGTTAAAGTCAGCATCAAATCATAATCACAACACTATTTACTTCCAAAGTGAACATCAATAATTAATGATTTTAATAGAAAAGGTATCAAATCTGAATGGAGTTGAACATGAACACATCCAGGACCACTGGAAATACACGCTTCAGCCTACATTTCTGTCAAACCACATTGGTTTGACTGCAGTTTGCAGGTGAAATGAACACCAGGGGGCAGCATGAAACCAGCAACCTGTGTTCCTTTACACACTCATGATATTTACATGCGCATATTATCGACAAATACAGGATTGTTTTTGTGTAGTTCTTTGCACAACACCGAATAAATACCACAATTGAATGTAATTAATGGAATATGTTTGCCTTATCTATCAAAATATAGACTTTTCTTGCATGATCAGCTTGTTTGTCGTTCACTTTGTACACTGTTATGTAAATTATAAATAATTATATTATCAATTTCTAAATATGTTTAGAGACTAAAACATTATTTTAATAAATTTATCCGTGTATTAAATCTGTTTTGTTTAAATGCACCAAAATACACTGCCTGTATTCACTGAGAAATGGAGGACGGTATTCATTTTCAAAACGGGCTGTGCATAATTATGCTGAGCACTTTATGGATAGCTATTAAAGGGAAAGTTCACTCAAAAAGTTCAGTCACCATTTGAAGATGTTTTAAAAAATATTGGAAACCCATAACCATTGACTTCCTTTTGTTATACCTAATATGGATTTAATGCACCAGACATTGTGTTAGAAACTCTCATATGCTTGACATGTTTGTTTCTTTGCTGTTTATATGCTATTTTCATCAATAGCACTAAATTTTTGCATCTCATTTAAATACACTATGAACAGCAGCTACGCTAATTATTTTTTATTATTCTCTATTGCCACCTGGGGATACTCATCCAAAGGCCTATGCAGTGACACATGCGATCCAAGTCTTGGAAGAGACGATCCTAAGGTATCCATAATCCTGGACCAGGCCGTATTGATGCTGTGGCGGTCATCGAGGAATTGAGTGCATGATTCTTGAAAGAACACAGTGACAAAAGAGTCCCTGCATTGATCCTGTGGGCCAGCCTCAACACCCCCTGGTAAGCCTACTCACACCGGCAGCTTCTCCACAATGGATGTCCAGCATTCTCCAGCCTCCGGCACCTAGAGACTTCAGCTCTGCACAGGAAGTTTGGCCAGAATAATAATGGTCGTGCCCAGCAGAGCCTTCAACTCTCGAATTTGGAGTTTACTAGGACTATAAGCTTCTTTGACACAATCTACATTGTAAAAAGTGCTATGGAAATAAACATGAATTGAATTAAAGGGTTATCGAATTCCAACATTTTTCAAAATATCTTCTTTTGCGTTTCACAGAACTGTTAACTCTTAAAGGTAAATAAATAATAAGTAAATTTAAATTTCTGTATGAACAATCCCTTTGATAGATTATTTTACAGCGATGATCAGTTATTCACATCTTATAAGCTTCTCTAACTGATCGTTTCTCATTTTGCAGCTTGCTTCATTCCTCCCATGCATGCTTTTTGGAAAAGCGTCAGCTCGAGTTCACAGAACTCCATCATTAGAGTATGAAGGATTCCCAAGACCCTCAGCATCCCCCATCCCACCCTTCCGACACGTCCTTTTCCTCCAGAGAACCACAGAAAGCGCCAGAAGGAGCAGAAAAAAGCCGATGGATCCTCCGATGACCCCGGCGCTCAGAGCCGCGTGATCCACTTGAGGAGCCTCATATTGGGCGCACGACTGTTCGCTGAGCCCTGCTTCATTCCCAGCCGCCACACACACAATCTGCCCAAATTTAAGCCCAGGGATGACACCGCTTCTCAGATGCTCTCCAAAAGTCTGCACGGAGCTTTTTTCATCCTTTAGTGAAACCTCGTAATGCGTGACTGTGGATCGAGGTGCGCACCAGAGTACAGAAACTCCTCCACCGGAGCCCGGCCGGAGCTCGCGCAGATCTGGAGGTTCAGGTCTCTCCTGAGGGCCGGTGAGTCCTGGACATAGACACCCGGTTTGGGCGGAGATCACATCACAGGGGCTCGTTTGTACCGCGCACGGGTCGTAATCGCACGGCCTGCGGATTGCACGAGAGATGGTGAGCCCCGGAGCCCGAGGAGAGTGTGTGGTGTGTGTGTTTATGTCATCATAATCGTCCTCCACCTCGATGATGCGCACGCGTGTGTGATGCTGCGATGGACTGGCGGAGGTGGAGCACACCGGCACACACACCTGGAGGAGCAGGAGGAACCACAGCAGAAACATCTCCAGCCTGGACGGAGGAAATCTGGATTAGTGTCAATAGTTTAATTGCATAATTATACACTTACGGTAAAACAATAATCAGGGGCGGACTGGGACTAAAAATCAGCCCTGGCACTGTAGCCACACCAGCCCACATTACCACACCGACACAGCCCCATGCACGGACACACACATTCACTACTTATTTTGGTGTACAGATGGTGAAATAATATAAGCAGTCCATATATGTAACATATATTTAAACATTTAATGTATGTGACTGGAACAAAAACAAATTTATATATGTGATCATTCATTCATTTTCTTTGCTTAGTCCCTTTATTAATCTGGGATTACCACAGCAGAATGAACCGCCAACTTGTCCACCATATGTTTTACGCAGCAGATGCCCTCCAAAGTGCAACGCACTGTGAAACCCCTATACACACACATTCACATACATGCACTACAGACAATTAAGCCTGCCCAATTCACCTACATCACGTGTTTGGACTTGTGAGGGAAACCAGGAGGAAACCCACGCGAACATGCAAACTCCACATAGAAACACCAACTAACCCAGCCGAGGCTCGAAAAAGCATCCTTCTTGCGCCCCTCCGCTGCCCTCTTTTGAGACTATTTCTGTTAATTTTATGCATTTCGGCAGAGTTTTACTTTTTTTTTTTGACATTCTAGCCAGATTTTGGGTCAGCCCATTTCGAAACCAGCCGGTCATTGTTGATTGGGCCAATGCTTAACATTTATTATTATTATTACTATTATCATCATCGTCATCATCATCAGAATACTCACATCTTGCAAGAGATAAAAGCTGCCTGCATGTGAAAACAATACATATTAAAAAATAAAAAAATGTAAAAATAGCTGACCGGCCCACATTTAAAAATGGTCCGGCCCTTCTGGCATTTGCCAGAATTGCCAGATGGCCAGTCCGCCCCTGACAATAATCCAATAATAATCGCAGGATCAATGGAAAATAAATTATGTATAACATTTATGGTACAATAGTTAAGTATTCACTACTGCTTTCGATTTGTGCATCAATCTTGTTACAGTATATCTCAAAAGGTCATGATTTGCAGTCATTTAATTAATTCGTCTGATATATCAAGTGGTGAGGAAGACAATGAGCCAAAATGTTTGTGTTTTATATATCAGTAGCACACACTGATATTTCCTCAATTTATATATATATATATATATATATATATATATATATATATATATATATATATATATATATATATATATATATATATATATATTTTATTTTTTTTTATTTATATATATATATATATATATATAAAATCATTTATGTTAATACCAACCCAATGTTCAATGTAAATACGTGCCTCAGGCTGCATTTTGTCTGGGTGTGTTTTGTTGGACATTTCAAATGACAAAACCACTAGAGGGCACTGTCTACATAATTGCAAATCTTAAAGACATTACTTAGGGTACGCTTTAGTTGACAAATCTACTAGAGGGCGCTGTCTACAGTTGCGGATCTGAAATGCATCACTTAGGGTACGTTTTGTACATTTCAGATGGCAAATCCATTAGAGGGTGCTGTCTACATACACTGAAAAAAGTGTTGCATGCAGAACTGTTGCAAACAATTTATTTGTGTTGAATTTAAACAAACAAATTAAGTTTAATATTGTTCAACTTAATTTGTTTGTTTAAATGCAGCCCCAAAAATAGTTTACAATGTAAAAAATTTGAGTAAATCCAAGGAATCATCTTTGAATATTTTTTTCAGTGTAGTTGCAAATTTTAAACATTACTTAAGGCATATTTTGTATGTGTTAGTTGACAAATCCACTAGAGGGCACTGTCTACATTTTTGTTAATTTGAAATACGCCACTTAGGATTTGTTTTGTTAGACATTTCAAATGACGAAACCACTAGAGGGCACTGTCTACATAGTTGCGAATGTTAGAGCCATATCTATTATGTAAATTGTAAAATATTATGTATAGTTATTGTTATTTGTTTATTGCATTTATACTGTCTACAATCAAAATAATGTTGAAATTATTACTGCATGCTTTAATTATGCCTTTGCTTATTGATGACTGATCACGTCATATCCTTGTTGTAAAGAAGAGACGGAGTGATACAATTTTTGACCGCCGTCCCATATTGTATCGTTATATAAAGAAAAAGATTGTTCCTGCTTTGAAGAACAAATAAACACAAGAAAAGAATATAACGACTTGGATGAGTTCGTCGCGTCAGACTGGTTACTTAAAAGGATCATATTTCCAGCTTGGATAATGGAGTGCCATTATAGTGAATCTAAATATGTATTACCTAATGAACGTTTTGTACATTTTAGTTGACAAATCCACTAGAGGGCGCTGTCTACATAGTTGCAAATCTGAGATACATTCCTTAGGGAATGTTTTGTACATTTCAGATGGGAAATCCACTAGAGGGCGCTGTCTACTTTTTGTATATCTGAAATACGACACTTCATCCGCCTTTCTACTGCAAACAACATTTAGACACGACTGTCGGAATACGCCCCCTTCTGGCAGTCGCACAGTATTTTCAGTGTTGTCGCGCACCAAGGGAGAGAAGCTGATTCTCACAGTGTCCGAAATAAAGGAGTGCAAAAGCAAGAGCCTTTATCCTCTGTGCGTTTACATGGTTTAGTGAATAAATTATTACTAGAAACTCATAGACCGCTAAAATATTGGAGGGAATGTGGAGACAACATTAAAATATATATGTTTATTACTTTCTTACTTACATTTATGAATAGAAATGTTTATTTTCAATAGACTTTTTATAATTCAAAAAAATAACCAAATAAACTCCTATTTCTCATCTCGCGCACACGGACCCGCTCGTACAACACTGGAATACATCACATCCGGTCGGCCGGTCGCATACGGTCTAGTCGCAGGAGTTCAAATATTTCAACAAATCCGCAGCTCAATCCGGATCCGATTTTTTCGCATACGGAGATGATCGGAACTCCACGCAGCTCTATCTAAATAGTTACCTATCTGAAATATATTACTTAGGGTCTGTTTTGTATGTTTCAGTTGACCAATTCTCTAGAGGGTGCTGTCTATATATATTTGCGAAGGTTGATGTCATCATACTGCCCCCTAGTGTTCATTTCACCAACAAACTCCAGTCAACCATTTGTTTAATTTTTTAATTTTGTTTTTGTGGTTGTTTTGTGGCATACATTTCCAGCGAGCCTGTATTGATTGATATACTAATGTGTTCTTTACAATAAGAAACAAACATGTTCTTCCAATAACTGGTCACTGAAAGGTTAAAGGAACTGAAAATGGTTATTGTACAACGTTACAGTATTTTAAAATAATTTTTAGGGAATTTGTACTATAATACACCTACCAAACACTATGTAGCAGAAACCAATTGTCATAAAAACACTTCATGATTTGTTGTTTAATTTAATTTAAAGTTTTATCAACATTTTTTTAGTTTTATAACAATTTAAGGTGATTTATTTGTCATTTTATTGATATATTTTAATACAAAGGTCTTTTTTTTAACTTTAAAAACAAAATCCTTCAGCTTAGTTGCTTTATTAATCAGGGGCCACCACAGGGGAATGAACCACCGACTACTCCTGCATATGTTTTACACATTGGATGCCCTTCCAGAAGCAACCCAGTACTGGGAAACACCCATACACACTCATTCACAAACACACACTCATACACTACGGCCAGTTTAGTTCATCAATTGTCCTATATATGTTTGGACTGTGGGGGAAACCGGAGCACCAGTAGGAAACCTATGCCAACACGGGGAGAACATGCAAACAGTAATGCCAACTGACCCAGCCTGGACTCGAACCAGCGACCTTCTTGCTGTGAGGGCACAGTGCAAACCACTGAGCCACCGAGTCGCCCCGTCTTTGTTTTTAAATAACATATTAATACCAGATTACTGCTTACCAGTGATGAGTTGCAACTAGAAGGGCATCCGTTACAAAAAATATACACTGAATAACTAAGTTGACGGTTCATTCCGCTGTGGCGACCCCAGATTAATAAAGGGACTAAGCCGAATAGAAAATGAATGAATGAATGATACTAGATTACTATAATAGCCGGCTGCAAATGTCATTTGGTTTTCAGTTTCCAGACATTTTCCGTCAGTCTCTCTGAGAGTTTGAGTATATAGTAGCCCGACGGCTCCTTCTGGACAGAATTAAAGTCATCTAAACAGCAGATGTATTTTTACACAGGACACACACTGCGCTGCTCTCACACACATCCGAAAGGAATGAAGCTGGAGGCCCAAATTTACTGTGGGAACCTGAAGAAAAGGGGAAGAGGAACTGAGGCCAGACTGATGAACACACACATACACACACACACACACACACACACGCGCACACACACACACACACACACACACACACACACACACACACACACACACACACACACACACACACACACACACACACAAACAACAACACAACCCTGAACCTTCCAAGAACATCACCCATGCAGCACACACACACACACACACACACACACATCAGCACTGAACGAGGAACCCAAGCCAAGTGTGTGTGTGTTTACAGTATATGTGACTCTCTTTCAAATCTTTTTCCAAGTGAAGTTTAGCTTTATACTATTCATTCACTCATTTTCCTTTAGCTTAGTCTCTTTTTTCATCAGGGGTCACCACAGCGGAATGAACCGCCAACTATTCCAGCATCTGTTTTACACAGCAGATGCCCTTCTAGCCACAGCCCAGTACTGGAAAACGCCCAATCCAATTCACACACACTCATACACTATGGACAATTTAGCCTACCCAAATCACCTGTACCGCATGTGGTTGGACTGTGGGGGAAACCGGAGCACCCGGAGGAAACCCATGCCAAGACCAACTGACCCAGCCGGGACTCGAACCAGAGACCTTCTTGCTGTGAGGCCACAGTGCTAACTACTGAACCACCGTGCCGCAACTGTTGGAGGTTATTCATTCATTTTCTTTTCAGTTTAGTCCCTTTATTAATCCAGGGTCTCCACAGCGGAATGAACCACCAACTTATCCAGCATTCGTTTTGTGCAGGGGATGCCCTTTCAGCTGCAACGCATCACTGGGAAAACTGTCGGAGTTATTACAGTTTATTAAAAAGAAAACACAAATGAAATGGTAACTATTAAGTAAATAAATTCACACTTATGCATGCATATACACAAATTAATAATGAAATATTAAACAAAATATAGGTTTTATTTGAAATTTTGCTAAATTTAGATTTATTTCAGAGAGTTTTCATTTTTGTTTAGGTTAATTTAATGTAATAAAACAACAAAAGAAAAACTATATACAAATATTTCTTTAAATAAATAAAAAAATAATAATAAAGAGATAGTTTAAACAAGATTGCAGGTTTTTCCTTCAAACTATTTACCAGTTAATCAAACTTTTAATTACAGCAATACTGTGTCACAAAAGAAGATATTTTAAAGAATGTTTTGATTATTTTGATTATTTTTATTTAGGATTTTAATGTAGTAAAATTGAAATAAAAAGAGATTAATTTAAACAAAACACAAACTTTTTTTTAGATGAAAGGGATCGAATTAAAGTTCAAATTAAATTTCGGTCATCAGATTTAAAATTCTGTCAAAAATTAAATTAATGTCATCAATCTTTCTTCATTGATGTCCATAGTTATTTTTCTCTTATATTTATATCAATGGCAATGGCTACCAGTTTTCTACATTCTTATATATAAATATATATATATATATATATATATATATATATATATATATATATATATATATATATATATATATATATATATATATATATATATATATATATAATATTGAAATAAAAAAGGACTAAGCTGAAAAGAAAATGAATGAATAATATGGAAATATTTATTGGAATTATTTTTTACAGTTTTACAGCAGTTTCCCTATAGTGTTTAAGTGGAAACTGTTCTCATCATAATAAATACACTATAATATTTTCTACATTTATTTGGATCACCATAGTTAGCAGTCAGATAAATAAATTAAACATTCATTCATTCATTTTCCTTCAGCTTAGTCCCTTTATTCATGAGGGGTCACCACAGCGGAATGAACCGCCAACTTATCCAGCATATATTTTGCCTTTCAAAACTTGATGGCCTTCAAGTTGCAACCCAGTACTGGGAAACACCTATACACACTCATTCACATACACTATGGCCTATTTAGTTCATCAATTCCCCTGTTTGGACTGTGGGGAAAACCGGAGAACCCTGAGGAAACCCACGCAAACTAAACACAGAAACACCAACTGGCCCAGCCAGGACTCAAACCAGCGACCTTGTTGCTGTGAGGCCACAGTGCTAACCACTGAGCCAGCATGCCGCCCCTAAATAAAACACAAGTACATTTCTTATAATTTATATATTATAATATGTTAATAAAATAAAATTTTGTCATCATTTACAGTTTCTTCTGCTGAACACAAAAGAAGATATTTTGAAGAATGTTGGAATCCTGTAACGACTGACTTAAAAAAACGAATCCTAATGAGTACCGTGAACTTAATCCATTTGAGTAAAGGAAGCAGTTGGAGCACAGTAAAACCCAATAAATGAAGAGAACTCAAACCAACTGAGTACTGTAAACGCCAATAAGTTAAGGCAACTCAAACCGTTTGAGGTAACCGATTGCTGCAAACCATTTGAGTTAAACTAATCTATATGAGTACTGTGAACTTACTCCATGAGGTTTAATGAACTCATTACCTTCAACACTAAGTAGAAAACTCTTTTCAAATGAGTAGATTTAACTTTCAGTAAATTTTGAGTTAACGCCACTCATTTTATTTGATAGAGTTAAGTTTTACAGTGTAGATATAAATATATTTACACTTACAAAAATTGATTTTTTTATGCTTGTTCAAACTACTTATTTAAAACAAGCTTGAGCAACATAATTCCTGAGATTTCAGAGGAGCAACTTAATAGTTTCATGTTCAATCCACTTATATCTTAGGTTAAATTAATTGATTTGTGTTGGGACGACATGAATGAACTGTATGAATAACACAACACATTCACACTTTTCCCTCATACGTCAAGTTTCATTACAGTTTTAAAGCAGTTGCCCCAATAGTGTTTGGGTGGAAATGGTTCCCATGGTAATAAACACACTGTAATAGTTCCTACAGTTATTCAGATCATCAAAGTAAGCAGTCAAAAAATTAATAAAACCTCTTACAAATATATATATATAAAAACACACAAATTGTTCAACCAAAATTTTTATTTCTGTCATCATTGACAGTTTCTTTCTTCTGCTGAACACAAAAGAAGATATTTTGAAGAATGTTTGAAACCTTTAAACATTAACCTCCATAGTATTTCCCCCATAATAGGCTACTTATATCAGTAAATCAGATACAAATACATGGACATATTTAGAATAATCCTTCATTCACACTTTTCCTAATACTTCAAGTTTTCTTGAGTTTACTTCAAGTTACTCCTAAAGTGTTTGGGTTAAAATGGTTCCCATGGTAATATTATAGTTCCTACATGTATTCATATGACCACAGTTAACAGTAGTGGAGTAAAGCAGAGTTAAATGATTCTCCTACCTGTTTGAGTGCAGTGTGAACACTCCAAGTCTGATGTTCTCTCTCTCCGCAGACAGATTTTGTCTCAATCTAATGCGTTCTTTCCTTCACCTTCTCTTTTTCCGTGGGCTGAAAACCCCTCCCTCTGTCGTCCGCCCTCCTCCATCTTCTGTTCTCCCCCTCCGCGTGTCTCTCTCTTCTCTTTTCAGCTTTGTTTGTGAGTTTTCTGCCGCTCTGCATGCTAATTCTCCAGCAGGAGACGTGCTGGAACTCATCTGGAGATCAGCAAACGTGTGCAAATGAGTTCATGTCTACAATGTTTGTGCATGGTGAACTGTCAGGGATGAAAAACGACAAATCAACACACAGGAACTTACATAAAAGCAAAGTACTACAAGTTTTGACTATACAGGACTTTAGAAAGTATTAGCATAGTATGAAGTAAACTTAATCAAAATGAATAATAAAACAACCCATTTAATTTTCTTTAAAAAAATACAAAAATACAAAAAAATTAAGTGAAATTGGCTCTCTTTTTTTGGAACAACATTCCCTATTTTTATACAGGAGGTTTAAAGGTACACATTTTATTTACTTATTTTTTTAACAAAACAAAAAAAAAAACCTACAATTTTATTTATTTATTTATTTTTTTAAGTGTAACATTTGGGTTCATTTTTGTCATTTATTTTGGAATTTACTGGTAAGTTTTCAGTTAAACATAAAGCACTGATTTTAGAAAATTTTTGAGCAATGAAGGTCTAAATTAATTCCAAAACTGCCATAAATAAATAAATAAATAAATATATAAATAAATTTAATAAAAAATAAATAATAATAATAATAATAATAATCATTAATAATAATAATAATAATAATAATCACAACAACAATATAATAATAATAATAATAATAACATAAATAATAATAATAATAATAATAAAATTAATACCAATAAAATTATTATTATTATTATTATTATTATTATTAATAATAATAATAATAATAATTAATAATAATAAAAAATAATAATAAAAATAATAATAATAATTGTAAAATTTATAAAATTTATTTAAAAAAATAATAATAATAATAAATCAAAGTTGTTAAAAATATATTCCTGGAGTTTTGTTTTACATGAAAAATCTAGTTATTTGCTTCACTTTAAATGTGAAATATTAGTTATTAACACTTGAAAAAGTCGCATTTATTTATATATTTTTTCTTTTTAGTGAAATTTACAGTTAGTTAACCCATTGTAACTCGAAACAGTTAACTTAATTTTTATAATGTTCATAGCATCGTTTACTTAATTTTTTAAAGCAATGTGTTTACTCACTTTTTTTGGAGTAAAGTCAACAAATCACTTTTTTTAGCAGTTGCTTAGTTTCTCTGTTATGATTGTGGGGACTCTTATGTTGAAGTTTCTCTATTTGATTCTTGCTTCTTGGTTTTTATTTGTTGCCCTGGTTACTCAGTATGCTCACCTGTGTGTGGTTTAGTTTCTCATTATCCTGAGTATTTATACTTCTTTCAGTTATTATTTTTGCTTTAGGGATTACTGTTTTGCTGTTATTTTACCTGTTAGATTATAAATATACAGTTGAAATCAGAATTATTAGCCCCCCTGAATTATTAGCCAACCTGTTTCCCCCCACCCCCCCCCCCACCCCCCCAATTTCTGTTTAATGAAGAGCAGATTTTTCAACACATTTCTAATCATAATAGTGTTAATAACTCATCTGATTTATTTGATCTTTGTTAGGATGACAGTAAATAATATTAGACTAGATATTCTTCTAGACACTTCTATACAGCTTAAAGAGACATTTAAAGGCTTCACTAGTGTAATTAGGGTAACTAGGCAGGTTAGGGTAATTAGGCAAGTTATTGTATAATGACGGTTTGTTCTGTAGTCTACCGGAAAATATAGCCTAAATGAGCTAATAATATTTACCTTATAATGGTGTTTAAAATTTTAAAAACTGCTTTTATTCTGGCCGAAATAAAACAAGTAAGACTTTCTCCAGAAGAAAAAATATTATTAGACATACTGTGAACATTTCCTGAATCCGTTAAACATCATTTGGAAAATATTTAAAAAAGAAAAAAAAAAATTCAAAGGGGGCTAATAATTCTGACTTCAACTGTGTGTGTGTGTGTGTGTGTGTGTGTGTATATATATATATATATATATACACACAATAAAATAAATAAACATACATAGTTTCACTCTTTCATCTAATTGTTAAAAGTCTGGCTGTTTCAAAGTAAATCCATTTTTACCATTTTAATGTATAATTATTATTGACTTCATTTGTGTGTTTCTGGTCAGAAATGAATATGTCGATCCACAAGTAATTCACCTTTTGCATTTAAAGGGACAGTTCACCCCAAAAATGTAAAGTCTGTCATCATCTCCTCATACTCCACTTGTTCCAAACCTGTTTGAGTTTCTTTCTTGTGTTGAACACAAATGAAAAATATACTGAGAAATGCTGGAAAAAGCAAAAAATGTATTTTTTTCTTTCTATATGCACGCCAATATCTACTTTTTCCCCAACATTCTTCAAAATATCTTGTTTTGTGTTCAACACAAGAAAGAAATTCAGAAAAGTTTACAACCACTTAAGAAATTGATGAGAAAACATTGAGTGAACTGACCCTTTAATGGGGTAAAATGACTTGATATGGGTTCAGAAACACTGACAGAATATTCTCTTTTGCTTGAACTCTTCTTTTAAAAGCTCTTTTTATAGCAGAAGCTGTAATGTGGAAAGCCTGAGCTCATTATTATTTGCTGTTGTCCACATTCCTGCGCTCTATGATTGTGTATGTCCAGCAGAGCGTGAGCTGTGACACACAACAAGACGCCTGATTTTCCCATTGACCCTCATTGTGGAGAGTTCCAGAAGGAGGGGAAGAGGAAACACGACCTTATATGGGCATGTCAGCGGTAAGGCTTTCATCACCTTTAAAGAGCGCAGAGACTCTGTGATAAAGTCTAGAAGGGATACAGCTGCGGATACTCACATCATTCATTCATTCATTTTCTTGTCGGCTTAGTCCCTTTAATAATCTGGGGTCGCCACAGTGGAATGAACCGCCAACTTATCCAGCATGTTTTTACGCAGCGGATGCCCTTCCAGCCGCAACCAATCACTGGGAAACATCCACACACACTTATTCACACTCATACTCTTCGGACAATTTAGCCTACCCAATTCACCCACACCGCATGTGTTTGGACTGTGGGGGAAACCGGAGCACCCGGAGGAAACCCACGCCAACGCAGGGAGAACATGCACACAGAAACACCAACTGACCCAGCCGAGGCTCGAACCAGCGACTTTCTTGCTGTGAGGCGACAGCACTACCTACTGCGCCACTGCATCACCATACTCACATCAATATAGCATAATTTTAATGACATTGTACAACAATAATAATTCATATTTTTACATTACTGTGAGGGTTAGGCTTAGGGTTGGGGTAGATGTTAATTGAATACAATTATTCTGTAATTTAATAAATAATATAAATAATTTGCATTAACTTGCTGTATCTTGCTGTAGCTGTATCCCTTCTAGCAACAACCAGACCATTAGCAGTGAATAACCCTTAGCAGTGAACATCACTAGCAGACATCAGCCTCACATAAGGTCATATTTAAAGTCAAATTACACTTCTAAACAAAACGTATAATCATATAGTCAATGGCTGTTTTTTTTCCCAGCATTCTTCAAAATATCTTCTTTTGTGTTCAACAGAAGAAAGAAACTCAGACAGGTTTGTGATGAGTGAGTAAATGATGACACAATTTAAATTTTTGGGTGAACTATCCTTATTGTTTTTTTATGTTAAAGCCTAATTTATTAGTGCATCTGTTTAATTGGTATTAAATAAAATTGCTTAGAACCAGCATAAATCGGTCAAGCGTAAAAATATGTAAAAAAAACTATAAATACACATTATAATGCAATATTAAATGAATTAAAATGTATAAAAACTGCATTTATAGATGGGAAACATAACAATGGTTATAAACACATTCAGCTTATGACACTTTTATATATGTGGGTATGTATAATTTTATAATATTTATTTTCTATTTACACAAAATTAAGTTAAATAATATTAAATATTAAGAATATAATATGTTAAATAATATTGATAATTATATTAACAAAATACTATTTTATTTGCACAAAATGAAGTTATTTTTTAGCTTAAAGTGGCATTTAAAGGCTTAATTATAGGTTAATTAGGGAAAAGTTACATTAATCAGGCAAGTCATCGGACAGCAGTGGTTTGTTTTGTTGCCAAAAATTAAATAGGATAGTAATATTTACCCTAAAAAGAAAGAAAAAACAGTAATAAAATGTATAAAATTTAAAAATATACATTAAAAAGTGTACAAATATATTAACTATATATTATAAATTCATTCTTTCATTCATTCATTTTCCTCCGGCTTGACCTCTTTATTCATCAGAGGTCACCACAGTGGAATGAACCACCAACTTATACTGCATATGTTTTAATCAGCGGATGCCCTTTCAGCTGCAACCCAGTACTGAAAAACACCCATACACTCTCACATTCACACACTATGGCCAGTTTAGTTCATCAATTCCCCTATAGCACATGTTTTTGGACTGTGGGGGAAACCGGAGCACCAGGAGGAAACCGACACCAACACGGGGAGAACATGCAAACTCCCCACAGAAACACCAACTGACCCAGCCAGGACTCAAACCAGCAACCTTCTTGCTGTGAGGCGACAGCATTAACCACTGAGCCTATATTATAAATATATGCATCAAGTTTGCATAATCTATATGGGAGTTTTGCAGTCGTCATGGTAACTTATTTATATCTCAGATGTTACAGAATCCAGAATGACTGTATTGAACCCGCCAAGACTGACTCTAATATTGGGCAAAACTGTAAATGTAAGGGTTTTTTCGGTGTGCGTGTGTGTCTGCGTCTGTCCTCCACTCCCTCATCCTGACTCAACAGACGGCCACATGAGTCACATATCGTGCTGGAGACATCAGTGTCAGGCCTGTACGGTCATGTCAGGTGTACGACTGCATGATCAGAAGACTAAACATCCATACTCACCGTCTGAACACTGCATAGGGGACACCAGGGCTGATTCTTTCTCTCTGAATGCTTTATTTTGGGTACAGACACAAACAAGCTGCACTATTATTGACAGTTCAGAGGGAACCTGCCTTTGAGCAGAGC